GAAAAGGAAAGTCTAGCCTGGGAATTGACATAAACATTTCGTTTTTCTTTTTTTCTTCTTTTTTTTTTTTTTTTGTCTACTTTTATTTATTTTTCTATTCTTTATTTTGGGTCTTTTCATATTTTATATCCTCTTTTTGATTTTATTTTTCAGTTTTTCTCATTTTATTTTTTTTTCTCTCGTTTTTCTTTTTTTTTCTTTTGTTTTTTCGCTTAAATTCTTTTCTTTTCTGTCTCCCTTTTACATTCCTCTTTTTTTTTTCTTTCTCTCAATTATCTCTTTCTTTGTCTTTCGTCCATTTCCATACTGTTTTTATCATAATTATCTCTCAAGTGATAAAGCATTCTCTTCATATATCACTCTTAAACCTCCTTAATAACACGATTATAGCAACATTTCCGGCTTCACTATGTTGTCACCCCCCCCCCCCCTCCCTCCACGGACCCTCCTTCCATACCCCCCCCCCAGGTCTTCTAAACCCCACCCCCCCTCCTTACCAACACCTTTTGTGCTAGAAACCTGTATATCAAAGAACTCTGTACCACGCTATCTAATCGTAATTTTGAATATTTGGGAAAAAAAAAAAAAAAGAAGAAAAAAAAAAAAAAAAATGCCACATACTTTTTGGCATACTTTTGTAAGCTAAGTTTGTATTTGCTTTTGGTTTTGTGGTAAAATTCCTATTTTTCTGCACTTGATAATGTGTTTTGTTTGCTTGTTTGTGAGTGTGCGTTTACACATACATACATATATACATACACACACACACACACACACACACACATATATATATATATATATGTGTGTGTGTGTGTGTGTGTGTGTGTGTGTGTTTGTGTGTGTGTGTGTGTGTGTGTTTGTGTGTGTGTGTGTGTGTGTGTGTGTGTGTGTGTGCGTGTGTGTGTGTGCGCGCGCGCGTGCGTGCATGTGTGTGTGTGTGTATGATTCAAACTACCATCCTATTCATACTTACAGTGATTTATCTTTAAAACCTCCTGAACAGTTGATTTCTTATTAAAAAAAACAAAAAAAAAAAAAACGAAAAGAGAATACTTACAATAAATCAACGCAATACTTCAAATCTTAGTTTAGTGAACAACGTAGGTTTAGCATGCGAAGGAACCAGTATGAGGGTTTAGCTCGAGAGAAAGTAAAACTCAGAAACGTGTGTAAGGTTTTCCGATGTAAAGTCACTGTGCAAAGCTGCTTCACAAAGTCATTCGATAAATTAAGATATTATGCAAGAAAATGTGACAGAAATTTACTTATTATGGCTGTCGATAAGTAATTGCACTAACATTAATCATTACGAGGATTAATAACACTAATGATGATAACGACCATCAGGGTAGAAATGAGGATGATGATGATAATGATAATAATAATGATAATATTAAAAATAATGATACTGATAATACTAATGATATAATAATAATAACAATGATATAATAATAGTAATAATACAATTATAAGGATAACTATAACAACAATGTTAATAATGAAAATAATTATAGTGATAATAATGATAACAATAAAAACGATCCCAAAATCACAACTACTATTGCTATTTATTTTCATTTCATGAAATTTCATGAAATAATAAAATTGTGATAATGACATTGATGCTGAAGAGAGGGATGGTGTTCATGATGATGATGATGGTGATAATAATAATGATAATAATAATAATGATGATGAAAAACACCAACAACAATAATAATAATGATACTACCACTAATAATAATGGAAAATAATAACAACAATAATAATAATGATAATAATGATGATAATAATAACAATAATAATGATGATAATAATAACAATAATAATAATAACAATAATAATAATAATAATAATAATGGAAAATAACAACAACAACAACAATAATAACACTAATAATTATTATAATAATCCGATCTTGATCTCATCTGCTCCTGCTCTGGCCTTTCTCCGCAATTTTTTTCTTCCCCATTCACTATTCCTTTGCGCAAGACTCACTTCTATGGTTTCGTTCATGACTTTTCAAGAAGAAGACCTCATGCAACATATGAGGCTGAGATGAGTATGAACATGACGAATTTTCTGAAGGAAATCTGCCACTATGCAAGCACGGGAGGAAGAAGAAATTATGTTATCTTATAGGAAGGAGGGAGGGGGGGAAGAGAGGGAGGGGTGGGGAGAGGGAGGGATAGGGAGAGGGAGGGATGAGGCGAGGGAGGACGAAAAGGAAGGGAAAGAGGGAGGGTGGGAATGAGAGAAGGGGGAGGGGGAGGGATAGAGGGAGAGAGAAAGAGAGAGAGAGAGGGAGAGAGAGAGAGAGAGTAACAGAGTGGGTATGAGAGAAGGGGGAGGGGAAGGGAAAGAGAGAGAGAGAGTAACAGAGTGGGTATGAAAGAAGGGGGAGGGGAAGGGAAAGAGAGAGAGAGAGAGAAAGAGAGAGAGTGAATAAGAGAGAGAGAGAGTGAATAAGAGAGAGAGAGAATGAATAAGAGAGAGAGAGAGAGAGAGAGAGTGAATAAGAGAGAGAGAGAGAATGAATAAGAGAGAGAGAGAGAGTGAATAAGAGAGAGAGAGAGAGTAACAGAGTAACGGAGAAAATGTGCTTAAAAATGAAAACATACTATAAAAATAAAAGACAGTGAATAAATATCGAGAACATGTTTGCATTGTGGGAATATAAACACAAATATGTGTTTATTTCTAGAATCTGTCTTTGTAGCGCTACACTTCACTTGTAATTCTGATTATTAATGTTTCGACACCACGACACCCTTTATTGTGGTAATAAAAATACTAGATCTTTTATCTAAATTTCAGTTTATTGGTCTGTTTCTGTCGAGCTATCTTTTCATCTAGAAACATGCAAATACACAATCAGAAACACATACAACGCACACAATCATAAACACACACACGCACACAATCATAAACACACATACGCACACAATCAGAAACACACACGCACACACACACACACATACACAAACACGTACACACACACACAATCAGACACACGCACGTCTGACCTGCGTTCAATTTCCGCACCACCAGTGGATGGTAACCCCGGTCATTCCTTGCACACAGGGGGTAGTTTAGGAACATAATAAACA